AAATGATTGATTTATGCCAAAAAATTACAAAACAGTGGAAACCAACCCCAGTGGAAGGCAGGGTCAGGGCAGCCAAGAAAGGAAGAAATGGTCCTCCGAAAAGTGGGATTTTCTATGGACCAGCAATCACAACACATGTAAAAAGAAAGTCGCTACGAATCGAATATTGCCTCGGAATAAAAATGGAACACGGATTAGACCCAAGCTACGAAATAAGGATATTCTCTTAGACACATGGAACGTGTTAAGCTAGTTCAGGCCCGAAACTGCAAGACATGCCATAAAACGGCTTCAAAAATATAAGATAAACGTAACAGCGATTCAGGAAATGAGATGGATAAGTAGCTTTGTATTTAACGAAAAACTCAAGTCTGCCATAATTTACTTTAAACCAATCAACAAGTGCATGTGCTCTCTAAGACTCAAAAGACAATGGTTTAACCTAACCCTCCTTTCAATCCACGCACCAACGGAGGAAACAAATGAAGACGACCAGGAGAAATTTTATGAAATTTTAGAACTATAGTACACAACGGCATCCAGATACGACGTTAAAATCATTCTGGGAAACTTCAATGCCAAACTAGGCAAAGAGAACCATCTTAGAGCGGTGATCGGCACACATAGCTTACATGATAACAGTAATGATAACGAATCAAGACTAGCAGAATTCGCTGTAGCCAACAATATGGTAACAAAAACCACACAATTCCAAAGAAAAGATATACATAAAGTAACCTGGGTGTCAAATAACGGAATCACACGAAACCAGATAGACCATGTGCCTATAGATGGAAGACACTCTAGCAATATTATCAGCGCACACAGTTTGAGGGGAGCAGAAAGTAACTCTGATTACTTCCTGGTCCGAACAAAAATAAGAACAAGGCTAAAGACGAAAGAGCCAAAGCAAAACTAACAAGGAAACAGGTGGGATATTTCAAGGCTCGATTTACCTGATAAGGAATGCCAATATCAGGCACTGATCCAAAACAAATTGCAGACACTGGAAGAACAAGAAACATCAGCGCCAGAATTGACCATAGACCAAAACTGGTAAAATATAACGAACGCCATAGGAAGTGCCGCAGCGGAAACTATAAAAAAAGAAAGAAATAACAAGAAGAAAAACCAGTGGTTTTACCAGGAGTGCGAACAAAGAGTGCATCAGATAGTAATCAAGAGGCTAGAGTTACTAACACGCCTACAGATAAGAACAGGGAAAACTACAACAGAGTTAGAACTCAAACGAGAATACTTTTGAGAAGAACAAAGAAGAGAAGCGCGAATAGAGTAACCGGAGGAGGAACATAGATTAGGTCACTGTAGACAGTTTTATAAGGACCTAAAAACAATGAAGGGCAACACGAAAAACAGCCCAAGATTTATAAAAGACGGTGCAGGACAACTGCTCAAAGACGACGAGGAGATAAGCCGCCAATGAAGAAAGTATTTTGAGCAACTCTTAAATACAGAAAAACCCTCAACGACAGGGCAACAAAGAGAGCACCAGTTAGTCGAACCTGAACTACCAGGGCCCATATTTGCTGAAGTAAAGTCCGCAATTTCGTCCCTAAAAAACCATAAAGTCTCAGACGAAGACGGCATACAGGCGAAACTACTAAAAAAAGGGGGAGAAAAGCTCCACTTTGAGATATATTATCTTATAAGAGAAGTCTGGGAAAGAGAATAAATATCGAAACACTGGCATGAAAGCCATATAGTTCTTATTCACAAGAAGAGTGACAAACACATATGTTGGGAAGGTGGATCACCTACGCCAGGTATTGAAAAAAAAATGGGAATTCAACTGCGATGTACACCAAATCTTCGTGGACTTTAAACAAGCTTACTATTCTGTTAGCAGAGAAGCAATGTGGGAGACCACGGTAGAAATGGAAGTACCTGGAAAGCTGGTACGACTAGCACAGGTGAGCACAGAGAACGCTTCAGACTTCAGAGAACGAATCAGAATTAATGGCACCACATCGGAGAAATTCCTCATTGACACCGGGCTTAGACAAGGAGATTCTCTCGCCCACGTGCTATTTAATTTTGCACTGGAATACAACTGACAAATAGATTTACCGTCCAAGGATCAAAAGAAATATTGGTCTGAAGGTCAACGAGGACAAGACCAAGTACATGGTGTTACGAAGAACCCAAGGCCAAGGGTTAGATAAAACATAACAATCAATGAATACAACTTTGAAGTCGTCAAAGAATTCAAGTACTACTACTACTAATTCAAGTACAAGAAACGACAAAATTACTGGTACTGTAAAGAAAGATACAGCGGACTATCTATGAGCCCTGCAGAGAAGAGACAACAGAAGAATGGAGAAGAAGACACAATGATGAACTCCAGACAGTATATGGAGATGAAAACATAGTACGCTACATTAAAGTAAACCGAATAAGATGGGCGGGCCACTTGCTAAGATCGAGTGATGAAAGACTCCTGAGCGCCACATTCTGGGATAGGCCCGATGGCAAAAGGTCAGTTAGTTGCCTAAGAAAGAGATGAAAGGATGCAGTAGCAGAATGGGTAAAATGCATTTTAGGAACTTTTCTTCTCTATTTTTTAAAACATGATTGAGATCTTCAATTCAAAACATTGAATTCAAAACGCATAAAAAAAACTTTTTAATTGGATAAACAGACCACCGCAACACGGCAGTTTCAAGCTTTTAAGCTTTCATCAAGCAGCTTTTTGGAAATTCATTTTTTAACAAAAGAGGGTTCAATAGGTGGTACTGTAGACTAGCGCGAAGCTTTATATTAATCAACAAAATAGCTGCGTGTATTATTCTTTTTACAATTTCGTAATCTTTTTAATCCAATTTACATTCAACAGCAGTTTTTGTAGATGCATCATTTTTAAATTTTTTTGTTATACAGTCACACACAGTATAAAATATAAAAATGTGTTAATAATAACTTTAGCAGTATAGTGACCTTGTTAGCTAATTAATTTACAATCTTCGACATTTTTTTTTAAACATTTTAATAATATAATAAAAAAATAAATTTGAAAATTTGCAAAGTTTTAATTTCGTTTCTATCGTTAAAATTTTTATTTCATATAATTCATCAATCTCAAGATTGATTTTCGTAATTTTTAATAATCGAATTTTCTAGTTCAATGGAGCCTAATCTTATTAAATCTGTCCTAATTAAAAACTTTCGCTCAGGTTATAAGATTCAGGATAATTAACACTTGTTGGAAGGCGATAAAACTTTTTAGAACGCAAAAAGTGTTCGTTTTCAGATCAGATTACCTCATAAGTTACTTTGCTCGGACTCACGACGAAAGTGACTACGTATGTTCAGGAGATTGTTATCGACGTAATGTTTTAGCTTTTAGCTATAATTAGGGACCGTTTTTTTTTTTTGCAGAGCAATATAAACAATTACCTTTTATTTTTAAAAAAGCAACGGTAGTATAGCGCCTTAGACAAAATAGTAATTATAGTTATTTAATCAATAAAAACTTCTTCGGTTGGGATTTTTATCAGGTTCACACAACAAAAAATCACCCAGGCTGTAGGTGAAAATAAAAATTTGTATTTATTTATAAGATTTTGAAGGGGTGAAATATTTATTTTTAAAAAAGCAGCGGTAGTATAGAGCCTTAGACAAAAATAGTAATTATAGTAATTTAATCAATAAAAACTCCTTCGGTTGGGATTTTTATCAGGTTTACACAACAAAAAATCACTTAGGCTCTAGGTGAAAATAAAAATTTGTATTTATTTATAAGATTTTGAAGGGGTAAAATATTCACTTTTGTGATTCAGCAACTTGTAAAGCCAATGGTATGTGATATATGAATATAAAATATAGCTATAAAATAATAATATTGCATTGGATAAGCTAAGCTTTTAAAAGTTTGTTTTCAATCAATTGTTATTGCATAATTAGCACTCAAATTTAAAAAAGGCTACTTTATAAAAATGGCCATATTTTTTGTAAAAATGTTTGTATAATAATTATTAACGTATGAGATTGAAGCTCATTATTTCAATTCCCAACAAAATAATATTTTGCAAAATTTCATACAGTGTGGAAACCACGGATGGAAAAAAATTGCTATATATATTTGCTAAAATAGCTTTATTAGCTCTGCTTTTAAAATATAATGTGGTACGCTGGGGCATACAGTGTATAAAACAATTCTTTGACTTGGAGTGATTATTTTGCGGGCAGTGGAGAATTTGATTGTTGACTTTAATTGAACCAAAACTTTTTAAGAAGTTGTCTACTAGTTCTTTTGAGGATAAATAAATACATATTTTATTTTGCGACATACGTGAGACAAAAATAATATCTTTAGGATTTACAATACTGCCCAAAGCTATTAGATAATTTTCAGTTTTTACGTCGTCAATGGAAATAAATAAGATGGCTTGTTGTTTATCGGGAAATTTGGATACTGTTTGATTTTTTGTTGTAATTGATACGTATGATTGGGAATTATATTGAGATAAATTACTAGGTATGGGAAGGTTCAGAGGGGGGTTAGGGACATGGTCCCCCAGATTTTTGTTAAACATTATTTGAACGCCACTAATTTAAATTGTGGGTAAGTGTGGTCCTGTTCACCTGAAGAACTTGTTTTGATATTTATACTTAACAAGACTTCAAAAAATGACGGCGTTATGCATAACTCGACCAAGCGCCATTTCTTTAAAATCGAGATTTCAATAGATTCGGGTGACACATAGCTAAAACTATCTTGAAGGGTTTTTTGTTTTGCATAACAAGACTATATTCTTAACTGCCATTCTTAGTTTTGCAATAATAGACTAAGCGCCGACTAAGCGTCTTTGGTCTGGTTATGCCAAACTAAGCTGTCTGGTTAGAATAACATTAAATTTGTTTAATACTCAAGCAAGTATTATATTGTGTATGCAAATCAAAGTATTTTAACTGTATTCTTATTCGTTATTATGTATTATCTGTTACTGGACTTTTAAATTGTGGAATTATCTTCAAATATGAGCAGGTTTCAGTCAAGAACAGAAAAAATGGTTGCACTTTGTTTAAACAACAAAGCAGCATCTTTACAGGTAAGAAAGTATAGATCAGTTTCTAAGTTAACCTCAAAATTCATTTTAGACTATGTATTATAACAGAATCAGTTTGTTAGAGATTTTGCAAATGTAAATTCTTTAATGGATCGGAATATTCTTTATTTCTGTCAGCTACATATGCTGTTTTTTTTTTAGGAAAATGAACAAGATACACATACTAAGGAACTAATCATAACTTCTGTACTATATACTACACCAACTTCCTTAACGGCAGATATTGCTACATTCGCTGCTCTAGGGATACTAGGGAATACTAAGGATTTATGTGAATTGCTACCTGTTAGTTTTGAATCGCTATCTCAAGGTACGTTGGACATTTCTACCACCTCAAATTATTTTAACACAGATACTTTGTTACCAAATGAACTTCAAGAACATTATTTAAATAAAAATTTAGTGCCTTGTGATCTTGATACTGATTAAATCAATGTGAGTGTAGAGTATCATGATATCTCGGAACATGAATCGAATGATGACAATCTTAAAAATGTTGTTGATAAAGGCAGGGCTTCCAATCATCAGTTTTTAGACGGCATGTTAGAAAATGTAAATGGAGAAACGTACTGTTTAAGCTTTGAAAATATTAATCATAATGTAAGTGATGCTGATTAAGTCAGTAATTTTGTTAAAGACCTCAATAACATGGCTTCTAATGATTATGACCAGGCTATGAACCAGGCTATAGACAGCATGTCAGCAAATGTAAATAGGGAAACATTGCCATCTTCAAATAATGTTGTTGAAAATATTATTTTTGTTTTAAATGAAAAACACTCTCCCGAGAGTAGACCAAAAAAGGGTGGGAAAAGAAAACATGCCAACCAAAACAGAGAAATAAGGAAAAAGCTTGGTGTACAAAACAAAGATTATTTTACACAAAAGAATACATTAAAAAAATGTAAAGAATTTCGTTATTATAATATCTGTCCTTGCATGTTTGGAAACTATCGGAGAAGAAAATGCTCTAAACGAATTTAATAAATTTTATAATGTTCAATCACATGATGCCCAGCGCGGATTACTATGTTCGTATGTCCAAGAAGTCGAAATTAAAAGAAAACAAGTAAAAGTATCAACTACTAGAAAATTTAGTAGAGTGTATAAATTATGTGGCAAAACTGTTTGTAAAAATTTCTTTTTACAAACGCTAAGAATATCAAGTTGTAAAGTTCATTCAGCTTTAAAAAACATGAAGCGACCAGGAGTTCGTGACTGTCGGGGCAAAAGTGGTGGTAAAAAAAAGACTGATCCCATTCGACTTCAGGAAGTTATGGACCATATTCACAAATTTCCCAAATACAAGTCCCATTACAGACGATCTATCACAGAAACAGAATTTCTTACAGAAAAAACAACTGTTGCAAAAATGTATGAGTTGTACTTTGAAGAATTGAGAAATCCAGTAAGTTTTTCTTTATATAAACAAATTTTTTTATATACTAAAAGAATAAAACTTAAAGAAGATACTTGTAATGTATGTGATCGTTTAGAAAATGAAATAAAACATTGTGTGGATAATGATAAACTACTGATTTTAAGAAACGAAAAAGATTTACATTTGGAAACAGCAGAAAAAGCACAAAATAAAAGAAAAGAAGACATGCTTGCAGCTAGGAATCAGCTTGATACAGAAACTCTATGGTTTGATCTAGAGAAAACTCTGCCTCTTCCTAGAATCCCGACTAATATAGTCTATTATAAAAGGCAGTTGTGTATGTACAACTTAGGCATACACAGTGGACAAACGAACAAAGGACATTGCTATGTTTGAATTGAAGGAGAAGCAGGTAGGGGTGCTCAAGAAGTTGGCAGCTGCCTTAGAAAACACATTAAAGAAAATGTAACTTCCAAGAAATTAATCCTTTGGTCGGACTCATGTGGTGGCCAAAACCGCAACATCAAGATTATATTAATAATGAAAACAGTTTTGGAAAGTCACCCTATTCTTGAACAAATTACATTGAGGTATCTTCTCCCAGGACACAGTTTTCTACCTAACGACTCAGATTTTGGAGATATCGAATCTGCACTCAAACTGCAACAACGGTTGTATACAGTAAATGATTACATCGAAATTATGAAAGCATGTCGTAAAAAAATCCTTTAGTTGTGCACAGAATGACAAATGAAGAGTTCGTGGGAACAGAAATATTGGAAAAACAAATTACCAATCGTAAAACTGATGTTACAAATGGTAAGGTGAGTTGGCTCAAAACATGGAAAATTAACATTCAAAAAGAAAAACCTCGTACTATTTTAACGAATACGAATCAGGATACTTTCATAGAAATAGATATTTCTAAAAAACAAGGAAAAGGAAGACCCAATATTCAATATCTCCGCAATTTTAGTGAACACTTGGTTCAACTCTGGCCACAAGGTAAACCTATTTCTAAACCAAAATTAGACGATCTAAAATCTTTACTGCAATTTATACCATTGGATGCAAAACCAGTGTACAGGTCCTTATGTAGTAACAATGATGTGGAAGATGACATTGAAGGATTTAATGGTGAACTTGATTTTCCAATAGATGACCAATAAAGTTAGCAATCTAGCAAACTGTATATTTTTCTTGGTATTTTTTTGTAATTATTCTTTCCAATGTGTAGATTAAAAATGTGTTTTTTTTATTAAAATGGTTTTCTTTGGTTTTCCTCTTTTTAAAACTCTGTATAACTAAATTTTTTTATTGATATAATTTTATCTGCATTAGAATTAACACTATTGAATGGTAAAATAAATTTAGAGCAATAAAAGGTAAAAAAAATATATTCAATGATTATAGAATTAATTATGTTATAGTAATATACGTTTAACATAAAAATTTTAAAAATACTAGTTTTATTTTAGTGATTACAATAGCCCTATCGCAGTATTTTGTTTTGCATTAATAGACCAAATGACATAAATGGTAGTTGGTCTAGTAATGTATAACGACTAAACTTCCTGAAATATATTTAAAGCATAAGTAGATCAAGCGCCATTTTATTTTTTTCTAGAATATAGTAGGTGCGATTATATTGAAACTTTGCAGCCAAAAATAGTTGTACGTGATCATTTTTCTGCTAAAATTTTGTGCAAATATATTAATAAATGTATTTTTAAGAAACAAAAAACTTTGAACCCATTTATCTCAAAACTATGTTTTGGCGCTTGGTCGAGTTATGCATAACGCCGTCCAAATATAATATTATATGTAAACAAACTTTGTTTACTTATTAATTTTTGCAGATTCAACCGTTGATCTTAGATGAACTTGATTATCACATTATTTTTATTTGATGAAATCTAATTAACTAAATCTTTAATGTGCTTCAAGTTTTTAAAATTGATAACTTTGGAACTCGTATCTATTAAATACATCTGTTCACCCTGCTATCTTGATGTCCGAAAGCCACTTATCGCAAAGGAACTACTAAAATTAAACAAACAACGCGGATAGCTTTTTAAAACACATTCTAAGTGTAGCTGTAAGAGGGTAAATTTTATTTTTTTATTAATGCACTTGCTGATGCGTTGACAAAATATACAAAATGCTTTTTATTTAGGTATATGTATGTACCGATGTACTCATCCGATCCGTAAATAAAGGAAGCTTAGGGTGCGTTCATTACAGAGACCAACGCATGATATCCTCGCCTAGAGCATAGCACTGACAGTGAACGCTCGCATTTAAAATATTGCATTTAGTTTACTTGGCGATGATAAAATAATGATGCCATCCTACGGTCCGATCGAGGGTCGGCGCCTCGTTATGAATGCATACTTAGGCCGCGAATAGAGGAATTGCTGGAACAAAAAGCTTGCTGTATTTAAATATTACTCGGTTCAACTCTGGAACCAGTATTAACTTTTCTAATATTTATCTAAGCTTCAGGTTTAATTCAAACCCTCTATTGTAGATAGTTTAGTGAAATAATAAATAATTTAGAACGCAGTTAACGTTTTATTTATCACTTTCAACATTTTATGATAAAACAAACTATTTTCATTAAGATTCTTTATCATACTAAACGTAATATTCTAGCCACAATCTGTAAGCCAGCAATTCATTTAGAATCGCATTTAAAAAGAACGAACTTTTATCTTTAAGCACTCACTAAAAGCAAAGAAGGTATTCGCCGGCAAACAAAAGAGAAAAAGTTTTATCAAGGATCTTAAAGAAATGCCGCTTCATATTTGAGATACTCGTATTTGAGAAAGAAAGAACAACAAAAATAATACTCAAAGGAATATGTGGGATTTTACTGAAGTATATGGTACGTCGGTTACTTATTAGCGAAAATCTACTTTAAATATTTGAATATAGAAAAAATTGAGGCACTTTGAATAGAGCATAAAACATTCATTAACTTTATACAAAAAACTAGATTATTTTTGTATTCAAAACATGTTTATTAAGGAAACAAGAAGTGATAGCAATTTGAAAAAATTATTATTACTACAATCTGATCAGATAGATAGATGTAGAGTTCTTTTTCTTTTTCTTCTTCTTCTTGATTTGGCGTAGACATAAGTATCTCTGTTTTTTGATGTGCCTCCAGTAAGTTGTCATTTCATCGTTTTCGTTGTCCTCCCACTGATCGTCTTCTTATTAGGGAACCGTCTTTACTACCCTATTTTTTGTCAAATTGATCATTCTACTCTTATATTTCTTACTCGGTCCTTCATATTCTCCACCTTGCGTCTATGTCGTATATTCGTACTTCTAGTCCTGTACTAGTGGTTTGTCATAAATTTTTATAATGGTTTTATCTCTGCTGTTTCTAGCAATATTTTTGTCCTTTCTGTATTAGGTCGTGTTTCTGCCACGTATGTCATTTTTGGTCTTATGACTACTTTGTAAATTTTGTAATCTTCCACTTCTCTTCCAAGCTTTCTGTAGCTCGATAGTGTGATGCCTGGATATTTAAACTTCATCAATTGTTCTATTATCTGATCCTCTAGCTATAATTTACAGCTTAGTACAGGGGTGCTCAAATGGTCGATCGCGATCGATTGGTCGATCGCGAGTGCTTTTTGGGTAGATCTCGAGAAGAAAAAAAATTTTAATAAGTAGGTAGGTAACTAAACTACTGTCAGCAGAGTTAAACGTTTTTATTAATACTGAACTATACAAATACATAGAATGCTTGACTAAGCATCATTGCAATTCAAAGAATTTATATTTACATATATTAACTAATTATTTTATTAATTCAATATTTATTATAATTATTAATCAAATTTGGGATGATATTCTATCAACTACAAAAATGTATTACGTAATAAAATAACACTGCTTGCGGGAAAAGGTGGCTT